CCCTATTGCCTGTGGTCAGCTAGGCAAGGGCTTAGACCTTTAGGCCTGTGGGGCACCCTGACCCCTGACCTCCTTCTGGCATGGGACTCCCCTAATGCCTGGCTCTCCAGATCTCTCAGATAAGCCCCTCAGAAGCCCCCCCCCACCTCCTGACACCCCCCCCAATAACGTTTTAGAATAATGGCCTCTCCTTTCGGTGGCCCCCGACCCGAAGCCATCTCCCTCGTGCCCTCCGAGTCCCCTAGCCATCCCTCCTCCAGCCCTTTATTCCTCCACCACCACCACCAGGCTCCTTCTGTCGCTCCTCCGCTGCCCATCTCTGCTCCCCAGGCCCCTGGACGTTTCCCCCACTCCCTGCCACACGCGCCTGGGGCCTCGGTGACCTCCGGAGCCCCTGTCCCTCGAGGACACCTCCTCCAGAAGGCCCTCCAGTCCTGCCTCGGTAGGCCTCCTGGGTGACACTCGCCCCGGGCCCCCGGAGACCTCCTCCCACCCCATCACCCCTCGGGGTGCCCCCACCCATGCACCAACTCCTATTCCTATGCACATCAGGGATCCCTTGAACCCCGTCGTTTGTCCTAGGCCCACCCTCGCTTTTCCATCCTCCCAGGGGGGCGTCTCCGTGCCCCCCTACCCGCTCGTGGTGGGGGAGACACCCCATGACATCCCTCGTCCTGCACCCCTCCCACCCGAGGGCTGCTCCCGGGGCTCCGCGACCCTCGCCCTCTAGGCCGTAAGGACTCCCCGGCCCTGGGCCCCGCGGGGACCCCCGAATCCTTCCACCCCGCCTCCCCCGCGTCTCCGCTGTAACCCCCCCCCCAGGCCCCGAGCTCACAGTTCCGGATGTCGGAGATGAACACCGCGAGCCCCCGCATCCCATCGCCCTTGGACACGGCCGGCATGATGGCGGTGGTGTCGGCTCCGGGCCTGGCCGGACGGGGCGCAGCGCAGCGGGGGCTGGCAGGCGGGACTGGGCGGAAAGGACCCCAGGCAGCGCCGCGGAGCCGGCCGGAGGGGGGGGGGAGGGGGGAGGGGGGGGGGAGGACGGACGGGCGGGCGGGCGGGCAGGCGGGCTGGCAGGCCGAGGCACCTCCCCTAGCTCCGCCCCTCCGCTCTACCGTCCGCGGCTCGCAGTTGTCTATTGGTTGGAGGTACTGCCACTCCAACTTAGACTCGCTCCCTATCCTCTCTCTCATTGGTCCTAAGAAAAAGACAAACTGCTACGATTGGTCCTGTGTCCTGCTATTTCCGTTCGGCCACGGAGTTCAATTACGCACCCTAGAACCGCCCCCTCCGCGAGACAGAGTCCAACTGTGATTGGGTCTCAACCCCTCGCTCCAAGAAGGGAGGGAGGGACGTGCAGGAAGGCGGGGGAACGGGACTAAAGAGGCGGGATTTGGGTTGAACGGAACCAATAGACGGATAGCTGGCCCCCGCAGACGTCGCAGATTCGTCGGGCATGTCCTACTTCCGCCCTCGATTGGGCGGTTGTGGGGGCGGGCGAAGGGACACGGCCCGTAGAGAAGGGAGGGAGAGAAGGTGGAGGGAGAACTGTCACTCAGCTAGGCTGGGATAGGTAGAGCGACGCCTGCAATTCCCTGCTGCAGAAAAGGGGCTGGGCGGGGCCAGAGAGCATCAGATGTTTACTGCGCAAGCGCCTCCCTCTGCATTTTTTTTTTTCCCTCCACTCCTCCACCCCGGACTCCCTAAATCCCCTTCCTGGAATCAGTCCTGCCTGTCTCCTTCCAACGGGTCAGGACTCAGGAGATTTAGAGTCCCAGAGAAGAGAGCTCTATAATGCAAAGATCGTCTTAGAGACAAGGTTCGAACTGGGGTCCAGCGAGGTCAAACGACTCGTCCAAGGCGCCACATCAAAGAATCCAATTTTCTATTTCGATTTTTAACAACATTTCCCTTTCTGTTCCTCCCCAACCAAAGTGTTCAGAGCAACTTTTGTTATAGTAGTTATAAAGTCAAAGTTGAAGCTTGGCTAAGGCGGCTTCAGTAATCCTGGCTACTCTGGATACTGAGATCTGAGGATCACGGTTCCAAGCCAGCCCAGGCAAAAAAAAAGTCAGAGACTCATTTCCCAATTAACCACCAAAAAGCCAAAGTGGAGGTGTGGCTCAACTCCACCCTTGAGTGAAAAAGCTCTGGGCCATTGCCAGGACCCTGAGTTCAAGCCCTAGTCCTGGCATAAACAAATAAATAATGTTGACTTCTTTACCAAACTCACAAAGCCTCCCAGACAGAACGAATGACACCTCTTGCTTCCTAGCTCAGCCACTGGTTTTAATAAGGAAAGAGTAAATTTGCTTGGGCTGGGCCCCCACCCCCTTAGGCTGGCTCCCCAGGGACACTTTGGTTGACAGGCTCTGGCTTAAGTCAAGATGCCAAAATTCCAACGCCCTGGGCTATTGAGAAATTTGGGCCAAAGGGAACTGGAACAATCCATTTCTGTCACTTCTAGGAACTAAATTCCACCCCTGTAACTTTTCGTAATCTCCGAAGCCCTGTATTCCTGGCATGAACCTACAAGGTAGGTCCCTGGGTCCTGAGAACGACGACCCACTCTTAGTGGTGGGAGGAGCTAGCAAAGAGCCTACCTTCCAAATTCAATGGACTGGTCCATCTGGATTCCCAGGAGTGGGATTTGGGAAAGTCCATTCTGGATTCTAGAGGGCACATATCCTTCAGATGTTTTAGTGACTGGGAGAGTCCATTTGTAATATGGAAAGGGGGATGGGGGGAAGACTCCGCTCCTAAATTGCAATCCATTAAGATTTAAGCAAGCAAACAAAAATATTAGTACCAGAACTTGAAAAAGTCTTACTTAAGGAAAGATGTGAAACATTCCAATATTTGGGAGGAAAATGTCATAAAAATACTTTCTTTAAAAAAATCCGGATTTTTTTTAAATGTGGATTTTTAACACTTTTTAGTATTGAAGGAACATCTATAGAACAGGGGGGGAAAAACTGCCCCTAAATAGGGCAGAGAAGCACCTTCCCCGCCCCAATCCTCCAGCTCCTCATTCATCCATCATTCCCCATTCTTTGTCCAGAACCTATCTAGAAGGAGATGGGGTTCACTCTGGGCTCTTAGTGTGGGGTGAGGGCAGTTAGATTGCCCCAAGACTCCAGAAAAGAATGAGCCACACATTTCTTTTTTTTTGGGGGGGGGGTATGGGTCATGTGGCCTGAACTCTAGGCCTGGGCGCTGTCCCTCAGCTCTTCAGCTCAAGGCTAGCGCTCTGCCACTTGAGCCACAGCGCCACTTCCGGCTTGCCTAAGGCATGCAAGGCAAGCGCTCTACCACTGAGCCATCTTCCCATTCCCGAGCCACACATTTCTTAAGCCTAGCCCTAAAGCACCTGCCCTAAGGGTGAGCAAGATGGGGAACCCACCAAACTTTTTGAAGAACCCTGGCGCACTAGGATCCGGGAATTGCCCAGTCATAACCCCGCCCCCATATGATCATTGGTTAATCCTGTTGAGTTACAGCAGTGCGGTCCAATGGGAGCACAATGGGCGGGACACGTATAACCAATTGACTCCAGCCATATTGTCAATAATAAAAAGACATAAATGAATTTAACTTCGATAACAGATGCCGGTGTTTATAATAGAATGATGACAACTATAAAAAATATCATAAAGCCGGGTACCGGTGGCTCACGCCTGTCATCCTAGCTACTCAGGAGGCTGAGATCTGAGGATCGCCGTTCAAAGCCAGCCAGAGCAGGAAAGTCCATGAGACTCTTATCCCCAATAAACCACTAGAAAACCAGAAGTGGCGGTGTGTCTCAAGCGGTGGAGCGCTCGCCTTGAGCTGAAGAACGCTGGGAAAGCGCCCAAGCCCAGAGTTCAAGCCCCATGACCGACAAAATATAGATAGAGAGAGAGAGATGTATCATAAGGCAGTTTTCTATCCTGTACACACACACAAAAAAGTTGTTTAATATATGTTGCATATTCAAGCATGTACCAAATAAACTCTCTATATTCATTCCAAGACTTTATTTATTGCTGGTCTTGGGGCATGAACTTATGGGCCTGCGCTACTAATTGAACAACAACTCCATTTCCGGTTTTTTGGGTAGTTAATTAGAGATAAGAGTCTCACAGGCTTTTTCTGTCCTGCCTGGCTTTGAACCTTGATCCTCAGATCTCCACCTCCTGAGTAGCTAGGGTGACAGGCATGAATCACCGGTGCCTGGCTATATTTCGTTTTTAAGACAGGGTCTAAAACCGGGTCCCGGTGGCTCACGCCTGTCATCCTAGCTACTCAGGAGGCTGAGATCTGAGGATCCATGGTTCAAAGGCAGCCCCGGCAGGAAAGTCCGTGAGACTCTTATCTCCAATAAATCACTCAGAAAACCGGAAGTGGCACTGTGGCTCAAGCGGTAGAGCGCTCGCCTTGAGTTGAAAAGCTGAGGGACAGCGCCCAGGCCCAGAGTTCAAGCCCCACGACCGACCAAAAGAAAAAAAAAAAAACGAAATATAACTGGACACCAAATATATAGCTCCCAAGCATAATTCTAGCCACTCGGGAGGACTGAAATCCAGAGGATTGTGGTTCAAAGCCAGCCTGGGCAGGAAAGAATATCTCCAAAATAACCAAACAGAAGTAAGGATGATGGCTTTGGGGACGGAGTGGGGAGAAAGGCCGTATGATCCCACAATTCCCATCAGTGAGGGGAAACATGGAGCTCTCTCCAGAACCAGTGGCTTGGTCCACTCTGGTGAGCTCTTGATGGGAAGGCGGAAATCCACTGCAGGTGGAACTAGAATCCAGGGCTGGAAGGGTCCATGTGGGCCCTGGGGGTGGGGGGAGGAGCAAGGGCACCATGTGCCAGCACCTTGCACCTTGGGTCCCCCCCCTCCCCAGGACCCGGTGGTCGGGCCCTTTGTGAGTCAGCTGAGGGGGCCAGGGGCTGTGCGGGCCAGGGGATCCAGAGTAGGTGGTGAGACTCCCCAGGGGAGCAGGCCCCCCACGCCATGGCGAGCGTGGTCGTGAAGACAATCTGGCAGTCCAAAGAGATCCATGAGGCTGGGGACCCCCCCGCGGGGGTCGAGAGCCGCTCCCAGCTGGTCCCGGAGGCTCCCGGGGGGGTGACCAGCCCGGCCAAGGGAATCACGAAGAAAAAGAAGGCAGTGTCGTTCCACGGGTGGGTTTGCCGCACGCTGTCAGGGACGGCCCTAGGGCCCAGCCCTTTCTCCAACCGAGTTCGAGTCCCACCGTGGGTGCTGGAGGAAGAGGAGGGGGCAGATGGTGGGGCAGGGAGGACAGGGGGGGCAGGAAAGAAGGAAGTTAGAAGCAGGGTGGAGAAGAAAAACAGCCGGCAGTGGGGACTGGCTTGAGGAGAGAAGAAATCAGGCAGTGGGTGGAGGCAGAAAATAAAAGCTGGCATAGAACTGGCATCCAGGGGGTGCCGTCCAGCAGGCAGTGGGGGGGCTGACCCTCGGTATTGGGGGGACAACTTGACCTTTCTACCTGTTCCTCCTTGGCAGGGTGGAGCCACGAATGTCCCATGAGCCAATGCACTGGTGTCTGAACCTTAAAAGGTCTTCAGCCTGCACCAACGTGTCCTTGCTCAACCTGGCCGCAGTAGAGCCCGACTCCTCTGGGACAGACTCAACCACAGAGGACAGTGGCCCGCTGGCCCTGCCCGGGCCTCCTGCCTCCCCCACGCCACCCTGGGCTCCAGATGACCCAGACATCACAGAACTTCTGGTGAGGAGTTCTGGGTGGAGAAAGAGAGAGAGGGAGGAGTTTCTCAATTTGGTTGAGTGGGCTTAGAATGAGAAAGTTCTTAGAAGGTGAAGCCCCAGTGGAGAAAAAACAACACCTTCTTTGATAGATCAACCCTGAGTCCAGTAGGTGAGCATTTAGTCAAAACCTCTAAATGCCCCAGGTATTTCTGGGATCACATCTGGATCTTGAAGATAAAAGAAAAGTGTCCAGGCATTGCAAACAGCATGTACAAAGGGACAGGGGCTGAAAAGAGTGTGGTATGAGAGATGAGGATTGAGGAAGTGAAAGGTATAAAGTCACCCAGGGTGCAAAATACCAGGGTCTTGGCTGACAGTAATGGGGAACGAGTGTGGGTTCAGGGGAGAGAGGGGGAAGAACTTGAGAGTTTGGCTCAATTCTTACTCCAAATGCCTTGATTATAGGCATGTGCCCACCACTCTTGGTTTTGTTTTTCCTTCATAGATGGTCTAGAAAGGAATTAGTATAGTGACCCAGTTTAAAGAAGAAAGCAAGGGCTGGGAAGGTGGCTCAGTGGTAGAGCGCTTGCCTTGCATGCCTGAGGCCCTGGGTTCGATTCCTCAGCACCACATAAACAAAAAGAAAAAAGCCGGAAGTGGTGCTGTGGCTCAAGTGGTAGAGCGCTAGCCTTTAGCTGAAGAGCTGAGGGACAGCACCCAGGCCCAGAGTTCAGGCCCCATGACCGGACCCCCCCCCAAGAAAAGAAGAAAGCAAAACAACAGCAAGAAAACAAAAAATTGGGGTACAGAGAGCTGAAGTGACCTCCCAAGGTCATGGCCAAAGAGTTGGTGAGAAGCAGGGGCAGGACTAGAATTCAGGCTGCTGGGGTCACTGCTAAGGCAAAAATCCTTTCCTCAGCCCTTCAAGGTGGTGTCCACCTGTAATCCCAGCACTTGGGAGGCTGAGGCAGGAGGACTGCAATTCAAGGTCAGCCTTTTTTTTTTCCCCTAAGATACTTCTGGGTGGGAGGAAAAATGGAAGCAAGACACTGGTGACAGAGGCCAGGGAGGTCAGAGCTGGTTGAGGGTCAAGGTGGGAGGCCAGCTGGGGGTGGAGACTGCCAGCCAGCTCCCTTCTTCCGGACTCCTGCAGTCCTTCTGCCTCCCACCTCCCTCAGTGTGGCTCTCAGACAGTTCTAGCAGCCTTTGCTGCCTCCCACCAGAGCTATTTCTGAGTCATATCCCCCAGCGCCTGCTGAGACTGGGAAAGAGCCTTGGGCCAGGAGATCAAGGGCATCTGAGCTGCTAGAGGCTGGGGGAGGACCGGCCTCTTCTTCTCTGCAAAAGAAAGAAAGGAAAAAAAAAAGTAATGGCAGCTCTTGCTTTGGGACTCCTGCAGGAGCTGGGAGAAGGGCAGAGCAGATACTGGGCCCCCAGCCATGGAGCTACATCAAGAGAGATCATGGGAAAGGGTAGAAGGAGGGTGAGGGACCCAGTGAAAGGTTGAGGGGGGGATAAGGGATGGTAACAGACCTAGAAGAGAGGGGGACAAAGACCCAGAGAGAGAAAGAGGGGAACAGAGACCAAGAAAGAGAGGGGGACAGACACAGAGAGAAGGGGACAGAGACACAGTCAGAGGGAGACAGAGACTCAAGGGGATAGAAAAGAAAGAGGACTGAGACAGATTGAGAGATTGAGGGGTGGGGGAGAGAAGGAGGAAGAGAGAAGAGGACAAAGAGATGAGGGGGACAGAGTCCTAGAATGGGATAGAGGCCCTGGCGAAGAGTGACATCTTAGAGTGCTGATTTGGGTCAGATCAGATTAGCAACACACTGTAGGTATTGGTCATCTACTGCTGCAAGACGAATTAGCCCCAAATTTAGAACACAGCACCACTGGTGTAACTTCATTGGAAGGCGCTATGTACAGGGATCAGATGAGGCTGCAAGCAACATTTCATCTGATGGCTAGAGAACATGCCACCTAGATGCACCTCTGAAAGCCCTTGTTGGAAGCTTCCACTCCTTCCTGGATGTTGGCTGGAGATCTCACTTTAGAGCTATCATTCCCCACAGCAGGAAAGAGGAAGCAAATGCTGGGCGCTGGTGGCTCACGCCTGTAATCCTAGCTACTCAGGAGGCTGAGATCTGAGGATCACGGTTCAAAGCCAGCCCGGGCAGGAGAGACCGTGAGA